GCCATTCTCTGACTTAGTCATTTTTTCAAAAGTGTGAAAATAAAAAAATTCATGAAAAGTTCTTAAAATATTCTGAATAACAAGTTGAATATATATATTTAATGATGGCACAAGCAAAAGTCTGAAAATTAACATGAAATGAAGGGTTTTGACAGATGCAAAATATGGTAGATTTGTGATGAAGAAATAGAGGTTTTTGCAGTAACAACACAATTACCTCGAAGTTATCCGTTATGAGAGGCTGAGGACTAAACTTGAAATAATTTTCAATCTCAGATTATCAGTAGTATCTAACTTTAGCCGGACAGCCACTCAAAATGTATATGGAGCCCATAAGATTCATTTTTCTCAATTGAAGTCACTTTTTCTGTTTTTAGCTTCAGAGGATAGGAGGTACATGAACATGCTAAGTTTACCTAGATCACAAGCCTTACCACAAATATAAAGTATATAGAAATAGAGTTGATATGTGTGAAAACCTTAAACTTCCCATTTTATTGGGGATGGAACTTGTGGACCATGTGTATTTCTAACTTCTTCACATGTGCATGGATCTAAAATTGTGGCAGCCATCTTGGATTTGTCATATTATGTGGACATGGTTTTGGTTGTGCTGAATTTGTTTCAAAATAACATTTCTTGTATACCTTCGATAAGTGAGATAGGCATTTGAAATTAAATACAAATAGTATACTTGACATTTAATGCACTAAACAGTAATACAATTCATTCTTACATAATAAGTGAGTCCAGACAAAAAGTTGTTATTGTGTTAGTTTAACTGGGCATAAATTACACTCATTGGCCTTGGTTTTCTTAATTGGCTTGGATAAAATGTTGTTCTGTTTATTCAGAAAAGGAGTATAGTTCAATATACAAGTTCACATTCGTTCCATCCTCTTGTAGAAATGAATCTCATATTATTTCATCTCAAATATAGAACACAAAAATGTAATAAAAAACAAGTTTCTATTAATTGCAAAAGTTAGCTTCTATGTCATGACTGAGTTTGGGTTCCGCTTCTAGGGAAAAAATATCCATCTGGAAATATCGTATTGACCATTGCTATAGACTCCATATTCAATCCTCCCAGTAAATAACATTGATATACAGTGTACAGTATATATGACATCGAGGATCTGGGGTTTGGGTAATGTGAGACATGAGGCCACTTGTCTTTTTGAATCTCATATTCAATATTCTTTCTTTAAACCCTCATATTTAATATTTTTGGAGTGGTAATTCAATTATGTACCTATTTTCATTCTTTATCCCATAGTTGAACTCTGTTCCACTCTGTTAGGTAACATGAAAACATATTTATGATATTTTGCAAATGCGTGGAAAAAGTGATATCTGTGGAATACGGAAAATATTTCACAGATATCACCTTTTGGCAGGGATTTGAAAACTACCACCAATATGATGTGTTTTGTTACATATTGATTTGATGACATCACGGGGATGAATGAATGAATGGATGTTGTTTTGATATGCTTTGTTTAGTTTTAGAGGTGAACTATGGGAAAAGTAGAACATCCTATGAATTTTCGTGATATTGTGTTAATCCAACTCATTGATATCAATATCTGCGCTAATTCGCTATGCTAACTTGGCAAGATATTGATATCAACTCCGAGATAAAGATAAAATCATTTAAAATCATATGATATCCTATACATATCCTTTACTGTGCCACAACTTTCTCATATGTTATATATTTTGGCACAGGCCATCATTTATTTTCCTTGAATTCATGCTTTTGTTCCTCGTTTTAGAAATGAGAGGAAATCTTTGATTTTCCTTGTATTTAAGTTGCTTAAATGTTGCCCTGTGATGTTGATAAAAGTCAATAGTAATCCATTACAGTCACAATTGAAATGTACCCATTGCCAGCCCAGAACCTACCAAAATAGCATTTGCATTTTGTCAATATTGCCCTATGTGCTTTTCCATGAAAATAATTTTAATCGTATCTTTTCTTCAGTATTTCATATATTACATTTTAATATATTTATATTGGCTAATATTTAAATACTATTTACTTAGACAACAATAAATAAAGAATTTTTTGTAAAAACACCAAAAATGGTATATGATCTTTAAATGACTGTTGTGTGAACATCAAAGGTCAAAATTCGCTGAAATTGTATTTTTATAAAGCACAAATGATTTTTCTTCAATATGATATGCATTATTATCAGATATCTTTGGGGGCTAAAAAGGGCCCTTAATGACACCCGTCCTTTGTCACGAAGAAAATTATATTTAAAAGGAAGGAGGAATTATCGATTTGATTTGCATTAAAAATTCTAAGAGATAATTTTTTATTTTATTTTACTTTTTTGTTGTTTTTACTTTTATACCAGTGACACGTGGACCAAAGAGGACCAGCACACCAGTTAATATCTATTGACCCATCCACAAAGTCAGTTCATGAATATTATTTTGAGCCACTTAAAGGGTGACGCATATCGTTTAGCAAATCGAACACTCGTTTCTGGTGTTGCTCACCGTTTAGTATAAAAGGCCCGATCCCGGAATAATACTCAAGGGTTCACAGGTTCGAGGTCATTGTGTCAACACCTCTAACCGTTATAAAGCATAAGTATATTATAGATCGTGACACATTTATGAAAGGGTGATTTTTATTTTGACAAATCATTTCCTCATTTATGGGTGAAGTTTCAGGATCTTCTATTTGTGTATAATAAGGAAAAATTGGCATCTAAATTTCCCCATAACGTAATAGCACACAGCTTGGCATATGAAATATCCTACAAATGAAACAAAGCAGTTCTAATACAAGGATTTATATTGGCTGTTGTACATGTATTCTTTGAACTTAATCACTCTTTGGATAACATTTTCAAAATCATTATAAACGGATTACTTTATCTCAAAGACAATTTCAATAAACTGGATTTTACAGAACTCCCCTTATTTCTTAAAAATGGACTGATCCAGTTGATTCGCCTGGACCGCCATATTGTTTTTTTTACGGGATGCTTATCGGAACCCTTTAAAAATCTGTGACATAATCTGATGAAACGTTTATCCATTACCATGTCAACATTCTTTATTCAATTTGTTTGAAGCAATAATTTCAGCAGCTGTAGTCAAGTAGACTCAAAACTCAGATTCTAATACTGTGTATAACAAGGTGATGACATTTTGTTACATGTTAAGGGCTTGATTGGAATATTTTGAAATGATTACAGGATGAGTGTTGGTTTCATAATAGGTTCACCTCAGCAATTCAATAAGTTGTGAATCTATTTTTTATGATATATTGTATATAGAGATTATCCTATATGAGGTTCAAGATATTGGGATTATCCCTAGGCCAATATAACTTATCTGCCCGAGGGCCGTAGGCCCCGAGGGAAGATATATTATATTGGCCAAGGGATAATTCCAATATCCTGAACCGACTATAGGATGATCTGTTTATCCCATACCAATCAAATGGTTCAATTGTTGCAACCAATCGTGGAATTATTTTAAAATATTCATGTCCAGTTTTTTTATTCTTGTCCGTAGCCGGATTTTCCTGTTCAAATATTTGATTATTAACGGGGCATACTGCTCCTTCCCTTCTCTAAAGCATCAAACAGATCGCGATTGTCTGCGTTTTTCTCCATTGTCGTTTACAGTATGCGAACGTTACAAAAAAGACCCAATACGGAAACAGCGATTATGACGTAGTGGGCAGATATACTATATCTGCCCGCTCGGAGCGGGACGTAAAGCTATATCTGCCCGCTGATGAAAATATAGGTTTTTACAAACCGGCTTTATGTACCTGTAACACGTCCAAGTATGGGATAAACCCTTTTATCTTTCAGCTTTCCAACAAATGTAACAGAGCTCTTCTACATTGATATTAGACAGTAGAATGATAGATAACAATAGTTCTTTGTTCCCTAAAGCGAGTGAAGTAGCTTAATGATTGCTTTAACAATCCATTCAAATGAATACATGACTTCAATTTGAGAGACACTTTTACACACCTTGGTGGAATATATTCGTCATGATGATGGCATTATCGTGATTGTCCGGCTTTTTGTCATCGCCATTTCAGGAAAACTGCTCATCAGATCTTCTCCAAATCCACACACATGATAGAGGATATCAAGTTCTAGAGCTAATTAACTTTTAGGTGGCCATCTTGTTTTCTGGTGGCATTTTAAAGGTTTTTTCTTTGGGTTTTTACGGTGGTTGGTGGTTGGCAATCGGTGGGTGGGGGTTGGTGGTTGGCGTCTGTAACAAATTCTTATAACTTCCAATAACTTAACAAATACTGTTTAGGCTGACTTCAAAAAGGTTAAAAAGGTCAAAAAGGTATTTTATCAACTTGCTTCAAATTTTTTTCAAAATTATCCACAAGCTATCAGAAGTTCAAATCTGACTTTGGATTTGAGATTTGACCAATGATCTTCTCAAGGTCAAAGAAAGGTCAAAAAGGTCTTTTTCAATTTGTTTCAAATTGACCATTTTTTCAGATTTGACTTTTTCAAGGTCCAAAAAATTTGACCTTCAATGACTTTCTCAAGGTCAAAAAGGTATTTTTTCATCTTGCTTCAAATTGCCCTTTTTAAAAAATCTACTAGTTCTCAGATCTGACTTAAGATTGAACTCATAATATTGTGAGCAACTAGGTGGTGACATTTTGTCATGTTAATACCTTGTTACAGAATGTTTTCAATAGTTGGTTTAAAAGAAAAACAATGTTGAATTCAGTTCAGCACAACAATTCCAATCCTTTTAAATGCTGATATGCTCTGTTAAAGGAGAACTTTCCAAGATGGCCACTTATGGCCATTATCAAAAATATGTTTTGTTCGGTGGTATTTGTTACTCCATGGAGTGTCTGTTTTCTAGTTTCAATCTGGAGATCTACAGAAAATATTAAAAAATCAATCTTGAACAATATAGAAAAAACCTAAAATGTATAATTATATTGTTGTTTTATATATAGTATGATTATGCTGTTGTAGCTACACGAAGAGGCTGTTAAGATTCCCATAGAGATTGTCAAGGCAACAGAAGCTGAGACAATATGGAAGGCCAAGTTGAAACTGTTGAGAGCTGAGGCAGAGGTCAGAAGACAGACACAGCCACAAGGTTGGTGGGATTACACTAGAGGGTGTGGTATAACCACAGCCAATCATAAGTTTGATAATTATGATTGTAATACAGGGTGGTGTGTTACTGCAGTCATATGTTAGATAGGATTATAACATACCTATGATGATGTATGGTATAAACTGTTCACAAGACAGCAGGCCAATATAAGTTTTGAAAAGCCTGTGCCTGCTAACTTTCTGATTGGTCAAGGCGCTGGGACTGCTACTCGGGGTGTACATTCCAGTCAACTGAAGATAAAACTACGCACAATTTTTCTAAATTCACTTCAGTCACCATTTATTTTACATAACATCACTTATCCCAAATTATGTCATATAAATGTTTTTATTAATCATGTTTATTGATAAATTTGTGTCCTCAAACTGCTAAAGTTGTAGGTTTAGAAAATTTGCTTGCATAGTTTTATCTTCAGTTAATCACGCGTTGGAATGCATTAGGTCAAATGTACACGGGAACAGACCATCAATTTTTGTTTTTAAACCATTTATTATTGTCTATTAAAGAAGACAACGATACTCTCTTGTCACTCTCTAACATCATCATAGGAATGTTATAAATGTTTACGTCACTATTGTGGCACATATTCCCTCGGTTCTCAGAGATCAATGCATCACTGAAAACCTCAGGCATATATGCCACGATAGTGACATAACCTCTAATAAAAAATACACTACAGAGTGGGATATAACTTCAGTCGATCATGAGATTGATATGATTATATTATATTATATAAGCTGCAGTCATAAGTTTAATAGGATTATACAACAGGGTGGGGTATAACTGCTGTTATAAGTTTGATAGGATTATATTACATGGTTGAAAATAACTGCAGTCATTAGTTTGATAGGATTATACCACAAGGTGGGATATAGCTGCACTCAAAAGTCCCATATGATTATACTACAGGGTGGGGTATAACTGCAGTCATAAGTTTGATAGGATTATATTACATGGTTGAAAATAACTGCAGTCATAAGTTTGATAGGATTATACCACAAGGTGGGATATAGCTGCACTCAAAAGTCCCATATGATTATACTACAGGGTGGGGTATAACTGCAGTCATAAGTTTGATAGGATTATATTACATGGTTGAAAATAACTGCAGTCATAAGTTTGATAGGATTATACCACAAGGTGGGATATAGCTGCACTCAAAAGTCCCATATGATTATACTACAGGGTGGGGTATAACTGCAGTCATAAGTTTGATAGGATTATATTACATGGTTGAAAATAACTGCAGTCATAAGTTTGATAGGATTATACCACAAGGTGGGATATAGCTGCACTCAAAAGTCCCATATGATTATACTACAGGGTGGGATATAACTGCAGTCATAAGTTTGATAGGATTATAATACAGAATGGGGAATAAATGCAGTCATAATCAGATGGTGACATTTTGCATGTTAATGCCTTGATATATAGGGGTAGCAGGGACAGAACAAGGCATATACCTCTTTTTTCCTGATAACTTTTTTAATTCTCAGTAATTTTTCATGAACTTTTCACTCTAAATTTAAAGCATTCCTAATATACGAAATCTTTTTCGGACTTTGACCTGGAGTTCAAATATTAATATTTATAAAAAAAATTACTGACGTCAGACACGTATTGCCACATCAACAACTAAAGAAACAATTAATATAGACTTCACTGATTGATTTAAAGATTCTTCGCATCATTTGTGACGTCATAAACATGTTACTCAACCAACAACTAAACACATAACAAATAGGAATATAGGTTCGTTCAGTGCCACGCTCTTGAATCAATTATAAACAGGGATAATCAACCGATATATGAGAGGGTCGCGCATTTTTTTGACTTGGAGACCTCGACTCGAGGAGTTTGCTGGATTTTCTTGTTACAGCATTTCAAAAATAGTGGCCATTATCTCTCAAGATACCAATTTTGCATATTCTGTTTGAAAATGATATAAAATCTTATTTTTCTTCCTTGAATATGTATCATCTCTATTCTATCAAATCATATTTCCTTTAATGACTTTTCACCATATGACATAAACATTTTCATTTGTTACCTCATATCAACATGGTGTCTGTGCATTGACCTTATTTTTAAAAAGTGCAAATTGAATTTAGACCTATGTCAACCTCGGATACTTGGAAACAATATTTATTCTTATGTTGCTGTTAGACAGACAGTATGTTCCATGTTTTACTTGGACACGTTTCCAATTTAAACATCATATCCATTAACTTTAATTGAATATGTCTCATTTGTGATATTTGATACAAGCTTAATTTAGGGATTGCTTCTTGAAATCTGACCTAATATAGCATCCATAATATGTACTTTCTGTTCAAGAGATACATTTCATCAGCTACATAGATTAGGACAAATAATTGAAAGGACCGCGGGTTGTTTGTAGAATGAATCGAGGGAGTTTTTTCATGCATTTTGCTTATGTTTTTCATTTAAAAAACAACAATACACTGTAAAACATTTTATTGACTATAAGATTGCCCCGTATAATTCCCAAAAAGTTCTATTTTTCAAGGATTATCTATGGATTAACATGCCAATATTAATTTCTCAAATTGTGTAAACTGCATCAATTCTCTAATTCCTAGAATATTCTCTTGGAGGAATTTCCCATGTTAATCCAATGGTGTGGTTCCAAGCAGATTTTGAGATAACAGGAAGGCTAATCTTTAATATACACCTTATTGGGTTGCGAAATAAATTAAAGCATCCCAATACGGCAGAGATCACGATAGTTGAAAAAACTTGTTAGCCATTGTGGCTAATTCTTCCAAAAATCTTTTAGCCAACTAAAATATGAATTAGCCATTTTGAAAAACCGTAAAAAAAGAGAATTCGACAGAGGTGTCACGGTCCAAGAAAATTTCGGTACGGTACGGAATGGTACAAATGGTCTCGGGACACAGTACTTTCGTGACGGGACGGGACAGAACATTAAAAAATGATGCAATGTCTGATGATGACAGTTTCACTTTTCAAAATCAAATTCAGAAATAAAAAACGTCAATTAAAATTGAATGTAAAGCATCTGCCACAAATGTGATCCGGATTTCACATAGTCTGAACGGTGTACTATCACCAATTCGTTTACCTTATGATATTGGAGTCCCAAAATACTTCCAAACAGCCGACTTTTTCGACTTAGATGCCGGCTTGATTTTTCAATTTCTTTCCTACATCCGGCATACTGATAATGCACTCGATTTGCGGACGACGATGAAGAAATTTACGAACAAGCATTACCATCTACCTGAAATCGTGGGTCCGTTAATAACACTTTTCAATGCAAAGAAGTGTAAACTAGGTACGAGGTAAGTGAAAATATTTAATTTTTCAGAACGAAATCGGAAGTGTTCCTCACTATTTATACACGTTTTTATGCATTTTAGGGACGGAATCTATGTACCGATACCGCCCGATATTAACCCTTTGTGTCCCGTGTCCTGAACCGAAGCATCTGGACCGAAATTCGGTCCAATATCGGGAAACCGTGACACCTCTAATTCGCCATAACTGCGAAATACCTTTACATATTTTTCGCCACCTCTTTCGAAAATTCGCGATTGGCGGATGGCGATAGTCTACCGCGATCTCTGCATTACGGTGTATATTAAAGATTAACCTAAATTATTGAGAATTGAAAAAGTTATCAGGAAACACGAGGTGTATGACTTGTTCTATCTCGGCTACTATATATTCTGACCTACAAAATAAATATAAGCGGTTCATGTTATTTAATTATGTGACAGAAAAATGTTTAAAACTAGCCCTTCAAACATAATTTCAAAATTCATAGCCAGCTTCAAAACAGATTGTTATAGTGATACAGTTACAAACATTTATTTCACATATTAATATGTCACACTATCATGTTTTATTCATTAGGATAAAATATCAGGCAATCACTTAAAATGAGACATGTCATTTCAGTTTTTATGCTTTATTGTATTTAACATATATAATGTAAGGTCAAATATAAAATATAAGGTGTTTCATATATATGCACCCCCCCCCCCCCATATACTCAACCGTGTAGTATTACCACCCTATCATGTTATTTGATGCCCTGAAAAAAGATACAACATATCAAAATATGTGGGTACGGATCATTCCGAGGGGAACTTCTGGTCATTTCGAGGGCAATTTAAAGGAAAAGTTTAGTTTCTGTATTGCAGAGTAGTTGTCATCATGGCAGAGTTCAGTCCACACGTGTGTGACTGTTATGTACAAAGATATGTACTTTGAGAGATGTTTAAGTTAAGCTGTTAGAAAACTAATCTAATGATCGTTTTTTCCGCCCTCCATTTTCAAGAGCATTTGAAGAGCAATGAACAGAACACTTCCTGGAAGAAAATTCAGCAAAATTTTTGATGTTGTTTTACAATAGATATCTTCTGAACATGCTATTGTCTTCACACGACATCCAGCATCTGATTTCAATACCGGCACTGAAGCCCAGCGCTTCTTTCACACTACTTCCTGTAATACCGTGATGTACTTATAGTCTGGCAATACTACATGTATGAGTTTATTATCCCATTTTCAAGATGGTGGCTGGGTTTCAAAATGGCCACCATTTTTTTCGTTAAAAACAAAATATTTGATAATTCAAAAACCAGTGAATGGATTTGGATCAAGTTTTATATGCTGAAGCCAAGGGACACTGTTGTTCTGTTCGAGAATCAATTTTCAAGATGGCATCTGAATTTCAAAATGGCAGCCACTTTTCCCCAAATAACGTAATTTTTCATAACTCAAATACCAGTAAAAGGACTTGGTTCGAGTTGCTCTGTTCGAGAAAGGCATTTCAAGATGGCAGGTGAATTTCAAAATGACTGCCATTTTTTGTAAAAAACCTTATACCAGTGTACGGATTTTGTTCAAATTTTATATGCTGGTACCTAGGGACAAAGGAGATCGACTTAAGACATTTTCAAGATGGCAGCTATATTTTAAAATGGCCACCATTTTTCTTAAACAAGATGGTGGCTGTTTTCAAAGTCAGGCTACCATTTTTTGTAATAATGTAATCTTTGGTAACTCAAATACCAGTGAACGGATTTGGTTTAAATTTTAGAAGCTGATATGCTCTGTTCAAGATGGACATTTTAAGATGGCCACTAATTATCAAAATTTGTTTTGTTCGGTGGGATTTGCTACTCCGTGGTGCATAGATATGAAACACCCTGTATATGACCTTGTAAAAACTATGTTACCCTTGTAACCACAAATACATTAGTATGAAATTGACTATCCATGAAATGGTCAGCTTATTTTGCAATATTTATTGTCAATTTCTCCTGTCCTTCACCACAATGTTAAATGGACCTGGTTGGTTTGTTATGGCACATACAAACTTTGCTGGATCAGGATCAGGTGGATTGTTTATATCTTCAGGTACAATCTCCAGTTTTTGTAGTAGACCAGTGACAAAGAGAAACATTCTTACTTTGGCCATTGCCTCTCCTAAACACTCACGTTTGCCAACTCCAAATGGTAGAAAGCTGTAATAAGCGTATTTCACTCATTAGGCATTTTTCGTTATGTGTATTTATAAAACTTAAATTAGTTACAATTCTGAAAGTCGCTTTTAGTATTACAGGCCTAGCATTTATAATTTGAAAATAAAATGTAAACAGTTTAAATGGAAGTAAATGTCTAAATAAAAGTTCAGGTTGTACACAGGGTGAATCTACTGTTAAATCTTGTTCATCATGCTCTGAGAGTGATTAATACGGAAACAACTTACGATTTCCTATCATGTGCCAGAATCAGGTTGCCATTTTTATCCAAGAATCTTTCTACCTTGAATTCATAAGGGTCATCAAAATATTTCTCATCATGGTGCATTCCCCAAATGTTCATCCAGAGCTTAAAAAAGGTAAATTCAATATATATATATATTAGGTTTTTATAACATGGAGTGGAAAATAAGCAAGAGGTCCAAACTCTTCTCTATGTACTTTAGCATTATGGCAGCATGATTAATTTGAACAGTCCTATAATTATAATGAATAATAAGCTATTGGTTGTCTAATTACTTGAACCTCAGCCTTTACTTATTTAGTTTGTCTAACATGGAAAACTGTTGACAAGAAACAATATTCCTTTCATAGCAGTGCAAAAAGTATCTTCTGAACCTCTTGAGATAGTATTTCTAGTATACTGCAAGGAGTCAAGCAATCATATTTACCACTGTTCCACGAGGTATTTTGTAGCCTCCTACACTAGTGTCACACAGGGCCTTATGGGGTATAGACAGTGTTGATGTTGTGCTATAGCGAAGAATTTCCAAAATTGCAGCTTCAGTATATGGCATGTTATGGCGATCTTTGAAAGTTGGTAGTCTGTCATCACCAATGCAATCATCAATTTCCCTCTGTATGTTTTTCTGTACTTCAGGTTTGTTGATAAGTATCAAGAGAAATGCTTTCAATGTTGATTCAGTTGTCACAATTCCTATTTGGCAAAATAAACTAATTTTAATTTTTGTAATCAGAAAACATGGAGGGCAATTCGAGGTCAGAAAGAGATAAAGAACAATCATATTATATGAATTAATTCATATTCATGACTTTTTAGGGGTTTTCACAAAACCTCATGTGGCTTCTAATAAGAAACTGTACATGTATTTACAAAATGTACAAGTATAATAATTAAATGGGGTACAAAGTTAACCTAAATGTTTTCATGTTTTCCAATGTGCTTTCTCATTTAAACTTTAATTTTAAGCCAACAATTAATAATTTACCACCAAGGAGGATATCAATGAGAACTCCATGCATCTCATTTCTAGTGATATTTCCCAGTTTGTAATGCTGAAGCAGTGTCTCAGTTACGCTGCGTGCCTCTTCAGTGTGCATACTTAACTTAAAGCAAGAGCATTTATACATAAACAGTATAAATAAATTATTAATACTCAATTTTAAGAGGTGTACATGTAGTCGTTTTTTTCCGAAGATTTAATTTTAAGAAGTAGCTTTGTTCCAAAGATTTCAAGATTGATTCTTCAAAGTTCTCTTTTTGCTGAATGAATTTGAACAAATAAACAAATAAATACCAGTAAGTATTTTTCCTAAGAATTATTGATTAATGTCATCGCCATAAGTGGCATATTGATAAAGTTTCTAAGTTTTTTGTGGATGGTGTTTGCCATTTGGCATTTGGTGGTTGGCATTCAGCTGCATCTGTAATAAATGGTAGGTGGTAACATTTTGTATGTTAATACCTTGTTTGAGGTCTTTTTACCTTATACTCTGACCTTTGTATCCAAGACGATAAAAGCCTTTCTCTTATTTCATTGTATTCTTTCAAAATCTTGTAAGAACTGTTTCCAAAGAATCTAAGCCATGGAAACATATCCAGTTCTTTGCCCATGCCAGCTGCTCCACATCTGTCCATGGTATCCAACATATAACACATCAATTTAAAGTCTACTGAGTCTTTGTTGACATTTTCTCCCAATACCTGTAACCCAAGTGTTATGATTCGGTCAGTACGTAATTATATTTAATTATATATAATTACTTTATTATTTATTTATTATTTATATCTAATATAAAATAACAATTTATATTCAGCATATTCCAACATTGTAAAGATCTTGCTGTATTCTTATGATTAATTACTATTTAGACCTCAGTTTGCTTTTGTGCAGGGGAATCCCTACGCTACTATATTCAGCCAAAATAAAGATATATCAGAAGAATTCTGACAAGTTAAAACTTCCAACAACCAATCACAACTCAGAATTACGATTTGAATCTTGCTTACATAAGCATGAAATCAGCAATATTCTTACTTATATTTGCACAATTTTGACAGGTAAAATAATGTATTTTACCTGGTATATAAAGAAGTCGGCAAGATCTGTTGATTCAGTAAGTTTTACTCACCCACTACGATGCTCAACAATTGATGAAAGGAGAAACAATAACAAGCGAATCTACCGAAACTCGGCTGGCCGGATCAATCTCAAGAAGAATTGGAATTTGAAATAAAAATTAAGAAACAAAACAAAGGAGTCGTGTTCAATTAGGTAGTCAGGAACCCTGCGAGTACCGAAGGACCACAAGATCCCGAGATAACAGTTACGAAACGTAACAATTGGTGGAAGCTGCCCTAGGTAAAAGAAAGAACGGTTATGTAAGTATAAGCTAACTGCATGAAAAAAGCATGTTTTCATCGTACATCATACTAACATAATTTTTTCTCTAAAATGCCAAGCGAGAAGTTAAGTTTAGAACAAATGATTAAATACCGTTCATAAATCAGTGGTTTGTAGGAAAACAGGGTTCGAATGTATATCATAATAAATCGTAATAGATGATAACACGAAGAGTAACTAACAATATGGAAGCTATAGATGCTAGGTTAAGACAATTAGAAACAGCTCAGAACCCAGATTTACAAGGTCAGTTAGATCAATTAATAGCTAGACAAGGTAATAATGCTGAATTGCAAGAAAGATTAAATAGGTTAGAAAATCAAGCTCAAAATAGAAATGAAATTGAAGGTAAAAATAGAATAAAAACATTTGATGGTAATTCTTCGGATATCGACCCGCTGAATTGGGTTAATAGGTACAATGCCTATGGCGATTTACAGGGGTGGAACAATGAAAGAAAAGCTAGAGCCATGCGTATGTTTTTGGGAAGTCAAGCCGAATTATGGTATAATAATCTCCCAGAAGACACTCAACATGATTTTGAAGCACTTCAAACTGCTTTTACGCAATATTTTGTTGGAAACAGGCCAAAATGGAACATACAAGCTCAATTACTCTCGAGAAATCAGAAACCAAATGAATCAGTTGAAGAATTCATGACTGATATTAGGCGATTAGCCTCGCGCTTACAGTTAGAGGAAAATGAACATAAAACAATTTTAATCAAAAATTTTCTCCCAAATATAAGGAAATTTGTGATCTCAAAAGAACCAAATGATCTCGCCGCTGTTGAGTCAGCAGCCAGACTAGCTGATTGTCTGAATCAAGTAGATAAGGAAGCTGAAAATGACAAAAGCAAGGTAGATACACAAAATTTAATGTGTAATATAGTAGAAAATCAGCAAAAAGCTATCAAATCTTTGACTGAAAAGGTATCCCAACTTAGCAGAGAAAAAGGGAAAAATACTGCCAACAATAGATTCATTGATGGAAGGCCAACCTGTCAAAAATGTTTTAGGAAGGGACATTCAGCGCCATTTTGTAGGAGAAGTAGTTCAAGGTCATTCAATAGTCAAAATATCCGCTGTTACAATTGTTCAGGTCAAGGTCACATAGCAAAGTTTTGCTTGGCCAAAAATAGGCAAAATGTCAATCAGACACGTCCAGTTAACTCTTTAAACGCCGAAGGCCGCGTCTAAAGAAGCGAGAACTGAAGTCACGGCCGAAGAAATATGTAAATAGCAATCCTCGCAAGAAATTTATCGGAGATATTGAAATTCAGGAAAATTTATATCAGGATAATGCGATAAAGACAAAATTATTTAACAGCACAGTATGGTGTCTCGTAGACACAGGTGCTCAGATATCATTGATTGATGAGGAACATTTAGAATCCATAAAGGATTATGATATAAAAATATATCCTGAATTTCATATCAAACCTGTTGGAGCCGGAAATGAAAGATTGAATTTAAGAGGAAAAATTTTCACGAAAATGACCTTTGGAAAGGTAAGTATTCCGATAATGTTATACGTCATACGAGGATTGAGAAGAAAAATAATATTAGGTGCCGATTTTCTGAACAAACATGAAGCTGTGATTGATTTCAATAACAGAAAGTTGAGATTGAAGCCGCTCAATAAATATCCTCTCATTTTAAACCAAGAGATCATCATACCTCCTCAGACTGAGATGATTGTTTATGCAAAGGTCAAGGGTAGACCTCCGGAAAATCTTATAGGCGAATGTTTAGCGGTGAATTCGCGATCCAATGTATTTACAGCTAAAAGCATAGGTACAATTACAAATGGTCTTGTTCCAATAAAACTTTTAAACCCGGAAAAACGCGCGATAAAAGTGCCTAAAAATACCAGCGTAGGAACATTTGTCAGTTCAAGGAAAGGAATTAACACACTCTCATTAGACGGCGAGCACAGTACAAACACTTTTGCAAAAAGAAATGAGAAAGTCAAGATAGATCTATCAAATTCAAAGTTAACTCCCGAACAAAAGGTCAAGGTTCATGAAATGGTAAACAAATACTCAGATGCTTTTGTAGATTCCACCGGCAAGTTAGGTTATTGCGACCTGCTCAAACTCAAAATAAAAACAAAGCCAGGGGAAGTACCATTTCGCCAGTCCCCATATAGAGTACCAGTTCAGAAACGAGATGAAATAAGCAGACAAGTCAAAGATATGTTGTCCCAAGGAATTATTGAACCGTCAACTTCACCTTATGCGTCACCTATAATATTGGTCAATAAATCGAATGGATCATTCCGTTTCGTGACAGACTTAAGAAAGCTAAATCAGCAAATCATACCTGATAAATTTCCTATACCACATCTAGGAGATTGTTTAGATAGCTTGGGTTTAGTCCAACCAAAGTTCATAAGTTGTCTTGATTTATGTCAAGGATATCACCAATTGCCTTTAGAAGACGATGGGTCAAGAGAAAAGACTGCATTTGTTTGTCATGAAGGGTTGTTCCAATACAAACGGTTACCCCAGGGATTGATTAACTCAGCTAGTTTCTTCCAGAGAGTTATGCAATTAGTATTAGCCGGATTGCAATGGAAAACAGTCATCTGCTATATTGATGATTTATGTATATTCTCCAACACCTTTGAAGAACATCTCGAGCATTTGGGTCAGGTATTGGATAGATTATCCAAGGCTGGATTGAAGTTGAAACCTTCAAAATGCAAGTTATTTGTAGAAAAAGTTCGATATTTGGGACACGATGTGTCATCTTCAGGAATTGCTCCCACAAGTTCAAATGTCAAGGCTGTGTTAGACTGCCAATCACCTACTACCTTGAAAAAGTTAAGACGATTCCTAGGAATGGTCAACTTCTACAAAAGGTTCTTAAGTCATCACTCTCAGATAGCTAGACCACTCTATAGATTGACTAAAAAAGGTGTTCCTTTTGAATGGAGTGCTGTTTGTGAGGAAGCTTTTCAAGAATTGAAAAAGAAATTGACTGAGGCTCCTTTACTCAAATACCCTGATTTCAAGAAACCCTTTCTCTTGTTGACTGATGCGTCAAATGAATCGTTAGGAGTAGTGTTAAGCCAAGTTACCGATGGAGTTGAACATCCGGTAGCGTATGCTGGGAGAAATCTATCTGAAATAGAAAAAAGATATCCCACTCATGAACAAGAGGCTTTAGCGGTCGTGTTTGGAACAAAGAAGTTCAACAATTACCTTAGATACAGCAAGTTCACTGTGGTAACAGACAATCGTTCTTTGAAGTGGCTTTTGTCAGTGAAAGAACCTACAGGTAGATTAGCCAGGTGGATAATGCATTTGCAGCAATACAATTATGATATACTGCATAGATCAGGTGCCAAGATGGTTCCTGCAGACTTTTTGTCTAGAATGCAACATCCAGACCTTCCAACAGAAGACCCTGAAGATTTGTCAGGTTTAACTGAATTGTTAAGCGTGAATTCCGTGCCTAGTGAGAGGACAGTCAGTGCAAGGTCACTACAACCTGCTGCTAGCGCACCAATATCTCCAGCTGATGAGGATAAACAAGACGGCATACCAGGTTTGAACCTAGAAATGCTCGGTAAGCTACAAAAACTAGATGAAGAATGGAGACCTTTGATAAATTATCTAGAGAATCAATTATTGCCTGGTAATGATATTCAAGCCAGGAAAATCCTGCTCAAAGCAGCTGATTTTGTCTACCGAGACGGTATTTTATACCATCTCTGGTATCCAGACGGTCCGGGAACTAAATTATCAAGATGTAAGGAACAATTGGTAGTTCCCAGAGGATTGATTGATGAAATCCTCACTCAACATCATGACCAGACGACCTGTGGACATACAGGCATACACAGATTAATCGATGTCGTAAGACAAAGATATTTCTGGACTACCATGAACAAAGATGTAATCAATTGGGTTCGTTCTTGTGAAACATGTCTTGCTAGGAAAAGACCCCCCAGGTATACTCGAGGTCGTCTACTTCCTTTGGAAATTCCTGATTCTGCCTTCGCCTGGTTGGAGTTAGATTGTTTGGGTCCATTAATGCAAACAGAACACGGTAATAAATATATCGTTTCTTTTGTGGACAGACTGTCAAAGTTCCCTGAATGTTTTGCAGTCCCTGATATCAAAGCCTCTACAATTGCCCGTCTTCTGTTTGATGAAATCATATGCCGATATGGTCCACCTCTTATGATAAGTCACGATCGTGCTTTAAACTTCATGGCTGAAGTTGTTGAAAATTTGTGCGATTTATTCAAGGTCAAAAAGGTCAAATCTTCAGCTTATAGTCCTCAGACT